TCCATCTTCTTTGATTATATATCCGCAGTGATTGATTAGCTTGTTGGCAGCAGCTTAATGTACACCACTTGTATAGTAGTTTATTAGATACGGATCCTGATCCTGCGTGAGTGTAGATAGGTTTTTGTAGTTTAGGGCAAAAGGTCTTTTGGTGACAACAAATGTCTGGCAAACTTGGGAGTGTCATGCAGGACTCAGTTGTCATCACTGGTGAACACTCGATCAAATACATCCACTGTCAAGAAAGAAACGAGAAACAACCTGTCACACGTTTTTGCTTGTTCACCCATGAAATTGTGTGGGGTTACAACTTGCTCAGCTTAGAAGCCTTCCCTATGTGGTGCCGGTGAAGTCTAATTGTTTATTCAGAAACTTAGAAGCATTCGGTAAGCTCACCACAGGTTTAGCTGTTTTTCTTCACTATAGACGCCTACAGGGCCTCATCACACAGGGACTGTGGACGGTCACGGTGGGATTCATCAAAAAGTGATCTTCCCGCCTGGAGTTTTGTAAGCAGTGCCTGAAGATGTTTTCAATCACAACAATATTACCAAAGGCTTAGCGTATTCGGAGACTTGACGCGTCTGCAGAATGCACCCCCTTAAAGTCAGAAAGCAACAAATTCGAAAGAGCTGCTTCGACACCGCCATGTTTCAATGCCGCTGATCGAGCTATAACTGATGTGCGTGATCAACATACTTACAAGAGCAACGGGCCTCACCGCTTTCCCGGTACCTGACACACTCATTTCCGTATTAATGATCACTTTTTTCCAACACGAGGTAAAAAAAAAAGCCCGCCCTATCGGCAGGGGCTTCAGAATACAGCGACTGCACCTCTCTGAATAGCAGTTTCAATGGATAACCGGGGAAGTAATCTAAAGTTCCCAAAATTTACTTTTTTTTTTGGTATGATATGGTATATTTGCCGTTTTGATTTTATTTGTACATTTTTTTTGTGGGGGGGAGACTTAAACTACACCCCAGTATCGCACTTTTATCGTTTTCTTAACATTATAACAGGTATTATAGTCATACCTGAGGCGCCCTAGGTATGACTATAAACAATATAAGCGTCCTAGGTAAGACGATAAACTACGGCCAACAGCAAGGCCTCTGATAGGGAGGATTTTAGGAGCATGGAACCACCTCTTAATTACAGGTGTTCCAATATTCACCCTGAACCATATGGGCAAATATTTAACCCACAAACTGGGGTCAAAAAAAAGAAAACATAACAATAGGTTTAAATACAATAATTTTTAAGGAAAAATAATAATAATTTTTTTTAAGAAAAATTGTTACGAGCAATATATATTGAAGAAAAAAATATTACCAGCAATACAAATAAAAAACTTGTCCACATTAAATGAGTCAATGAGGTTGATATACCGTAAAACAAAACAAACCAAAGAAAATTAATAAATAGCAAGGACTTTTTGGCTTGTATGATAAAATTGTTTGCTTTATTTATTTTAAGAATAATGTGATAATATTACACACGATGAAGCCTAAATATTGAATGATATTCTCGAATCGGCCGGTTTCCCAGACGGGTGACTTACACTCACGAAAAATATACTAAATCAAATATTTGCCTCTTTTTGTGGAACTTGAGGAATAACTATCTCGCAATGAATATACTTGCGTGTACCGCGATTATCACTACGCAAAAAATCGAGAAGCTTTGATTTTCACAAGCAGATGTTTCTGACAGGTAACAAATAAAAATGGCCTCTCTGCGGTAAATTGCGTTTATTTGTTAATCAAAACGAACTTTTACGGATATACACATATGCCTGTCTTCCTCTTATTATCTGCTTTTGTTAATATCCAATGAAATCGTGAAAAGAATTTTAAATTCTGTCAATATTTCTGAGATGAGGTATTGTAATTATTTACACTATTTACATTGTTCGGAATGTTGGCCTCATCTTCGTTGCCATATTTACGACGTTCAGACCGTTGTACACTCCGGCCTTCTTCTATATCTGTCTATTTTTCTGAGGGGAAATATTGTAAGTATTTACGTTATTTACATTGTTCGGACTGTTGTCCTCATCTTCCCCTGGGAATGCTATGAATCCTCCCAGATGAAAGTGAAATAGCTGGACAAACTGAGTCCTATAGCCTTGGTTGGCAACCAGTCTACCGCAGAAAGAAATAGCAACCAAAGGCGGGAAGCTTTTCTGCCAAATCAGCGATGAATAAAAAAATGCATGGTCAAACAAGCGTGTATCATTCATGTCAGTCAAAGGAATGGTTCTACTTTTCGATATACAAGACGTTTATTCTACAGATTACTTGAAAGAAAATAAATATATATATATACATTTATTTTGTCATTGCCCGATTCATTCATGCTCTTCATTGAAAGTTTTTGTCTATTCTGTTCGTTGCTGTTTAGAGTGAAATTCTGAAACGATTTGTTCACATTTAAAATAGAATTTAAATTCTCTCGCTTTATATATATATATATATATATATATATATATGTAGCGAGAATAAAAACAAAAGGAAATATTTACATTGCCAAGGCGTTTCTTCATCTGGTAGGTTTCGTCAAGGCAAATGTAAAGATTTTATTTTGCAAAATATCACATGAACATATCAACAGAAATTAAAAATGTAAAATAAATGTAAAGTTTTTGAGAATATTTAAATAAAGTTATGCTCAAAAATATATTTTCAGGCCAAGTCTGAAAATCTTTAATCACTCCCAATATATATATATATATATATATATATATATATATATATATATATATATATATATATATATATACTATAATTTATTTTCATAAGTACAGTTTTATTTAAGTAAATGCTTTCTTTTAATTCAAAGTATTAATTACATTTAGCGTCATGAATGTTCCAGAGAAATTTCGTAGAAAATATGCGTTCTCCGATAAGAATCGAACCTGTAGAAACTATCATTTGATCCGATCTGACGTGCTGTATATATATATATATATATATATATATATATATATATATATATATATATATATATATATATATATATATATATGTATGTATCAATTATTTCTCCCCTCCTAGCAAGACATTTCTCCACTCCTAAGACGCAAGAACTTACTTATTGTAAGATCCTGTGGAGTCCCCGCCTTGGTTAGGCTAGTCAAGCTTTGTGTACCTTGTTAATGCGAGTAAATGTTGTTCCTGGCTTTCTCCCGGCTAATTCTTAGGCTATGATCGAAGTGGGGATTCCCCAGTTTGTTTTAACACCCCCTTTTTCATCTCCGCTGTGTCAGCTTTCATATTTCCCATCTCGGTATATATTTTCTCCTCCCGACCCTCCTTAAGCGAGAGAGCCTCTTTCTTTTGTCGATGGGCAGAATGCAGCAACCTCTCTCTTTTTGATTTTGGACGGGCCCTACTAGCATCAGTTATATTTAGTTCACTTTGTGTCTATGTTTTTTTTGTTTTAGGGTTTCATTGCCTCCCCTCTCATTCTTCATCCGTAAATTTTTATATATATTGTATATTTTATTATCATCCAATCTTTAAGCCATGGAGCGCGTTTTCTGTAGGTCCCCTTGAGAGGATGCGGTATTATGGTTGATGGAGGATGAATTAGTGACGGGTGAATTGTGGTGAATGGGCAAATTTTAACGAGTGAAGGGGTCGTGAATCAGATTATGAATAAACATTGTTATGCCAAATCTCGAATTATATCAGTTTTGTTTTTGTTTAATTAATTCCTATAAAGAGAGACTCTAGCGCATAAAAGAAAAAAGCATTAGTTTATATATATATATATATATATATATATATATATATATATATATATTTATATATATATATATATACACACACACACACACACACACACACACACACACACACACACACACACACACATATATATATATATATATATATATATATATATATATATATAAAAAAATAGGTAACTTGTAATCTCGTTCTCGAAAAAAAAAACATCTAGAAAAATGAAACATCTGTCGAAAAAAATCGCACAGATACAGGTTTGAAGCCCAAAGAAAAAAACCCCAACACGAGTAAACAACTAACTAACAAAAGATTTCGATACAACCGTAGAGCAGACCTAGATACACCTAGTGAGCCAGACAAACCTACCTAGGTTTCACCTAAACGGATCGTCAGGGAAAGCTGGCTAAAGAGCCAAAGAGAAACGCATATTTATAGGCGATAATCAAAATATACCACGTGACCCAAGATGAATAAAAACACAAGAACACCGGTGGTGGGGTGTTAAAGATTTATTCAACAACTAAAAGGGGGTGGGATATTAAACGGGGAGGGGATATTAAAATCCGACATTCCACCTTTATGACTGAATTAAGACGAATTTCTCCGTTTATTTTGTCATTTCCACCTTTATGTCATATTACATATATATATATATATATATATATATATATATATATATATTAGTTACAAATAAAATTAAAATAAAAATAAACGGAGAAATGTTTTGAAAACTTCAATCAGTCAACTGTTTGGAGAGAAAATAATTTCTATCCTGTTTTCTTTTTCTGTGTTGTTATTAGATTGTATTATAAATGAGTGAGATTTATGCAATCTTATCACGTTACACATGGAAATAAAAAAAAAATGGCGGCGAATGTCTTTGTCGATCTCTTCTTAAACGCAGGAAAAATAATATGTTGATCGCACCGGGTCGTATAGATTGGCTTCTGTGATATAAATGAATGTCTTCAGTGATTTCCCTGCATATTTAGCGGCGTTTTTAAACGAAAGAAATGCGAATTTAAAACAGAAAATAAAATGAAATTCTATAAGACATGAATTTGTGTAAACAGAATTTGAAATATAACCATTGATTGCAAGTGCAATGCTATAGATGGATACATTTGGCAAGATGTGTCCGAATCAAATGGGAATAGATAGTCTGAAAGACTTTAAGATTTTCAAATATATAAAGGTAAATGTATATAGATATCTAGCTAGATAGATGTAAGTGAAAAGACTGACATTAGATAGATAGATAGATAGATAGATAGATAGATAGATAGATAGATAGATAGATAGATAAAAAGGAAGAAAGTCATGGTGACACACATATATATATATATATATATATGTAAACAAAATTGGCGCCATTATTTAACCTTTAGTATCCTTTTTGTCAACGATAGCTAGCTAGATAGATGTAAGTGAAGATAGATAGATAGATAGATAGATAGATAGATAGATAGATAGATAGATAGATAGATAGATAGTTTGACAGACAGAGAGATAGATAAAAAGGAAGCAAGACCTGGTGACACACACACACACACACACACACACACACACATATATATATATATATATATATATATATATATATATATATATATATATATATATATAAGTGCGTAGGTATGCAGAAAATAGAAAAAGAACACGTTGGGTGCATAATCCGGGGTTCCTTAGTAATTTTGTTTTCATTTTAAGAAGACAGTGCTCCATACAGAAGTAGAGCTTTATTATAATAATATTTTTTTTTTTAAAATATGATTCCTTCGCTACATAAGAGTTCTCATGTTTCAAAAACGAGAGCCAAAATTTCATCCAAATAATTATTAAAATTAAGTTGAATTGAGGTGTTTAGTCCCGTTTCATCTTATTCCTAAAATTTCGCTTGAAGATGAAACGGGACTAAACACCTCAATTCAAAATAATATTTGGATGGTTTACCTCGTTTTGAAAATGAGAAAAAAAAAAAAATAAAAAATAAAAAATATATATATATATATATATATATATATATATATATATGTGTGTGTGTGTGTGTGTGTTTGTGTGTGTAAACACATTGGCGTCATTTTTAACCTTTAGTATCCTTTTGGTCAACGATAGCTAGCTCGATAGATGGGAAGTGAAAAACTGACATTAGATAGATAGATAGATAGATAGATAAAGATAGATAAAAAGGAAGAAAGATATGGTGGCATATATATATATATATATATATATATATATATATATATATATATAATGGGCGTCATTATTTAACTTTTAGGATCGTTTCGGTCAACGCCTTTTCAAAAGGTAATCATTGGCGAAACAAAAACACAATCGAAACCGCATTATGAATATATAACGAATGTGTAGGCAAAATTCAAAGAAAAAGAACATTTAAGTTTTTTCTTTATGTTTGATGGAGCGAGTGTTAGTATTTTCTTTTTCTCTATTTTATACTGTTTTGGAATTTCTCATTTTTAATCGTTAATTTATTTACAATTAAAATTTCTTTTAATAGCGTTCCAACTTTCACTTCTCATTCGTTATTTATTCTTAATGCGTTTTCGATTCTGTTTTTGCTTTGCCAATGATTACCCTTTTAACATAGCTTTGGCCGAACGGTTCCTAAAGGGTAAATAATGACGTCCATTTTGTTTGAATCTATTTGCTATTTCTGTGTGTTTTAAGTTTATCTTTATATATATATATATATATATATATATATATATATATATATATATATATATATATATATATATATTGATACATGTTTCATTAAATAATATAGACAAGTTTTGCCTTTTTATTTTATGTAAATTCTTTTCATAACGTCTGATAAGATTAATAACATTATCATTAAACTAAGAAAGAAAATCACAATATTGATACATATTTTTTAATACTATCTAAGCTTTCGGCTTACATAAGCCATTATCAAAGATGACAATTGCATTACAATATATTAAGCAATACACGGACAAGACCGTTATGATAGTCTATTTCTGTTTACATGGAAGATTTCCAAGCAACGACAAACTCGTGCATATGAGACACTAGAAGCGAAAATCGCACCGCAGCTCATGACGTCGCACATGACCACGCGAGAGTGAATTCGAGAAGTATTAAGTGTGGGAAACAGTTGGTATAAACTAATGGCTACTGTTACCCCTTATAGGCATTTGAGAATATTTGTGGAGATTTCATATTTTATTTTGTTCAGTTTAGGTTTCAATTGTTTTATATATATAGCTTCAAGAATTTTTAGTTTTTGTTTATTGTTTTCATATATAATTATAGTTGTGTTTTTAACATGGAATTTCCGGAATTGTGTACGCGGCCAGGCATGTTGTTTTAAATGCCTAAAAATTTTAGAGTTATCATTCAAATGTAGTGCCAAGCATAGTGAAAGCGAGTTTGTGGTGTGACCAACATAAATATTATTAAAATTCGTTGGAGATACAATCTCCCAATGGGAACTTGAATTTGGAAACTACGTTGATTTTTTGCAAATCGCTAACGAGGGAAGTATCATTGCGAATATTTGAGTTCGATATACTAAATTTATATATATATATATATATATATATATATATATATATAAATTCATGAATCATTCACACAGAAAACAAATATAGAGGTTAATGATTTAAATGGCGAGAATACTTCGACGCAAACAATATAAATAAGATACATCAACCCCGAACCTGTATATGAATATTATGATCCGCGTTTATAAATTCCAGTTGCATAAGGTCTTTTTAATTTTTTACAAGCTTTCGTCTGTTCCTGTTCAGACACCATCAGGTATGCAAGCAGATTTTGTTCTTGTTTGTACTTCTCAGTAATAAGAGGACAACGAAAATAGAGATGTAATCCGAAAAAATGCTATGAGAAATGTGTTATTGTTTTGGAACGTGCGGTCGTAACGCTGAGTTTGAATTTAAATTTTAAGGTTCTGCGTTTTTGTACAAATATAGCAATATGAGAATTATTTTTTACTGGTAGATTTTCCGTGAATATGTCATGAACTATATTGTTCAATAATTACAGTAATGTCACACTTATTATCCGAGAGTTGCACGTTGGATCAGTTATTTTAATTTCAATTAAAAAGGGCGAATATAATTTATAAATTTATGATTCATGAATTTATAAATTATATTTGCACCTTTTAATTGAAATAATATATATATATATATATATATATATATATATATATATAATTTCCCAAGAGGATAGAATACAGGTAGAACTCAATCTCTAGGACAGAATAAGAATATAAATTAAAAGGCTCAAACACTAATATTTCATGGTTATAATTTATTACATTGGAATCGTAATCACTATCCAATTCATCAGACGTAAAAATTAAAAAAGAAATCGGAAAATATAACTCCGGGTATAAAAAGCAAAATTTTAGTGAGAGTGTATGTGTGGGAGTGGGAAACAAGCGTGAAAGTGAAATGTATGAAAGCTCTAGAGAGAGGGTGTAATAGAAGAAAGAAGAACAGGAAAGGACTAAAGGTGAAGGGGGGGGGGTTAAAATTTAACAGAAAAAAGTTTTAAAGAGAGGAATTTAATAATGGTTTAAAAAGTGAGATACAGATAAATATTAATTATTTTTCGATGCATAATTCGCTAACGATTCGCTGACCTTTAAAATTCAGAAAACAGACACCAGAACGTGTGTACACATTTGTGGTGACACTATGCAAAATACAAAACAAAAAAAAACGACATGATCTAAACTTAAAACCAAGAAGATGAGAGAGAGGGAAAATAAGTTATTTGTTAGAGTTGAATTAGACCAGGAAACAGTTTTAAAAATGCTATATATATATATATATATAGACATCGAAAGACAGACTATTTCGCTGTATCACAGCTCATCTCTGTGGCTAGACGTCTGGTTGCCTCTAGCTCGGATCGAAACCCACTATATTGATGTTAGTCGGAGATTCTCCCACTAAGTTTTTAGCGCATGGCAGGGATGAGAGTGAATTTAAACGCATTTATTTTTAGATAAATACGCAGTGACTGAAAGGACTCAATTCTCTTTACCGAAGAGTCTTGCATTATTAGCCGTAATAGTCATTGTTTACAAACTCACAATCCCTCCCCAGAGAGATCAACTGAAATAATTTTTTTTAATATATATAAAATGTGTTCCAATAACTTGGACCGATTATTTTTATGTTTAGTTTATGTGTCTAATGTTTTTCTTTTAGATTTTTGGACATTTAATCGATATTATTTTTCACACATAATTGCCAAGACTAAATAACATGATCCAATAAAGACATAAATAAATTTTCCCTAATAACACTAATTTATTTACTGTTGACTTTGATCCGTCTTAATGAAACACGCTTTATATATATATATATATATATATATATATAATATTCGCCTCGGAAATTTAAACAACGCTTTACTGATACACACAACTAAAGCAGATCATAATTTCGATTTTGATTCCGTGATGATTTTAAAATATTTTCATAATAAAAAGTTTAGGCGGATTTATAAAGCAGGCATAATCTATCTAACTCACGGTGAACACTAGACCTGGCTTCTTTAGTATTTCCCCTTTTCTAGCGAGATTAATGCTCGACAAGCGTACATATAAATTTTAGATCAAAGTAGAATTCTTTTCATTTTTCATTTTTCATTCAAAATACTCAAATTTTAGGAATACGTTTTCACAGCGTCGGCCATGTGACGACAACGTGACCATATTTTAAACGGAACGCTGATCTTATAAACTTTCAGTTATTCTGTTTGGATAAGTCTTGTTCTTATGTACATCGTCTTTGTCATGTTGAATTGATAAAGTTAATTATATTTTATGAATATGTCCTGAAGATGGTTTATTAGACCGAAACGTCCGACGTTGATATTATATCAACATTAAAACAGCAAAATTGCATATAAGGATTTTTGTTTGTTTTTTTCCGTATATTTTTCTTCATAATGTCGGATCTATATCCATATATTTGCTTACATATATATATATATATATATATATATATATATATATATATATATATATATATATATATATATGTGTGTGTGTGTGTGTGTGTGTGTGTGTGTGTGTGTGTGTGTGTGTGACTTCAGATAAAATATGTGGAAAATGTTTCAAAATTCAACAGAATAAAAGGAAACGTCTATAAATTTAATATATTTCCCTTTTATTTATGCTTCATGAAAAAATGACCTCTGAAAGAGAAACGAAAATCATGACTTGTTTCTTATTTTTGAGTCGATGGTTTTTAATTTGCCTTTTCTGTCTGGTAGTTTCGGGATGTTGTTTGAAGAT